GGCCGGGGCCGGGCGCGCAGGCCGCTGCGGGCGGGGAGCGGGCGGCCGAGGAGCCGGGGGCGGGGGCGCTGCTGCGCGAGCCCGTCTACAACTGGCAGGCCACCAAGCCCACGGTGAAGGAGCGCTTCGCCTTCCTCTTCAACAACGAGGTGCTCTGCGACGTGCACTTCCTGGTGGGCAAGGGGCTCGGCGCGCAGCGCATCCCGGCGCACAGGTGGGCCGCCGTCCCGGGACCCGCCGCCCCCGGGGACCCAGCATCCCCGGGCCCAGACCCCGCCAGCCCCCGGGACTCAGCCATCCCTGAGATCCCGCCACCCCTCCCCTCTGCCGGGGATACCCGCCACCCCCGGGAACCTAGTCATCCCCCAGGACCCGCCCTTCTTGGAACCCCTGCTGTTCCCGGCACCCCACCACCCTCAGGACCCCGTCGTCCCAGGACCCAACCCGTTATTCTTGGAACCCCTGCTGGTCCCGGGGACCTGCCCTCACCCCGGGACACCCACCATCCCTGGGACCCTGCTGTTCCCAGTAACCACCATCCCCTGGCCCTAGCACCCCTAGGCCCTGTGACCCTGCCAGGTCCCCCTCCACCCGTACTTCCAGATACTGGCCGTATTCTGGTCCTGCGACCCCTGCCCCTCCACTCTCATCAGCGTCTCCTGGCTCTGTGACCCCTGACCCTGCCACCTTGGCCAGGATCTCCCAGACCCAGTGACCTCTTCCACCCTCAGCATCCCTGTGGCCCCTCAGCCCCTGCCAGGCTCTCCAGACCCTGCAACCCCCAGCCTGGCCAGCCCGAGGACCCCCAGACACTACCATCTCCCTCCATTTCCTCCTTCCTGCCCCAGTGACCTCCTCCCCTGAGTGCCCCATCCTTCTGGGGCTGAGACCCCCAGAGCCCCACCAGACTCCCACCTTGTGAACCCAGGACCCCCAGTGACTCCCAGCTCTGCGATCACCCAGCTCTGTGACGCCCCATCCCCCACGCCTCCTTTCAAAAGGGGGGGTTGTTGGTCCAGGCCCCATCCCTCTGCCAGTGTCCAGGGTGCAGCCCCCAGACTCCTGGGTAGGGTGGGAGTGATGTCAGACAGCGTCCTGCCCACTGCTGGTTCCTCTGCCCCTGCTCGCTGGGGGGTGCTGGGGAGGGTTCTGTCTGGGGAGGGGGGCTGCAGGGGTTCTCACCACTCTGCCTGGAGTGTCCCCTAACCTGCTGTGAGGGTCCTCCCCACCTTTCTGACGTGTGGCCTTTATTTAACTTGTGCCTTCGAGATTCCTCTTTCTGGCTTTTTTTGGTTATTTATATACAACTGGGTCTAGATTCCTGTCCAAGGAAGCTTCCAGGCCCGTGATGCGGTCCCTAGTACCTCCGTGCCCTGTGTGTGTGTTGTGACCCTCCCCCGTCTCCCGCAAGCTGTGAGTAGGGGGCCAGTTGGTGTGTCACCTGTGAGCCCCCAGCCTCCCTCATGCCTTTCTTGTCCCACCTTCCTGCTGTGTGGACCTCCCAGATCGAAGGTTCTGGTCCTTTGTTCAGCCTTTGGGTTGTTATTTCATACGCATTGTTGACATTTTACCTGTAGCGATCAGGTAGATGACTGTACCGTGAGTGACCCTGGGCTCTGCTGAGCCTCAGTTCCTCCCCACCTCCCGGGACCTGGGACTGACCACTCAGACACATCCTTCCCAGGGCCACAGGGAGGGTGGACCCTGTGACCCAACCAGGTTCTTATCACAGTGGCCCGGGGCTCATCCTCCATACAGCCTGGCTTAAAATGCAGGTGGGGATGTGACCCAACGCATAAAGGAAACACCTCGCAGCCTCGCTGATGGAACACAGACAGGAGTGGGGAAAATTCCTAATACCGTGCGCCATGCTCCCGGGCTGGACCTAACTCCTGCCTCTGTCCCAGGTGGGCTGGATTTGGGGACTTGCTTGTAAAGAGTAGATTGGAATCCCACCTTGGGGGAACCCGGCAGATGCCACCTCAGCCAGGTGGTCAAGGTCGACCTCAGGGTGATGTCCTGGGGGTGTCAGGGTCCCCCTAGAAGGAATCAGTGAGAAGGGCACCTCACCTCAGTGTGCTCCACCCCAAACCCTTAACCCCAGTGTAGTGGGTTGAATGGTGGCCCCCAACAAGGTGTGTCCACATCCTGACACCCAGAACCTGTGAACGGGACCTTATTTGGAAAAAGGGTCTTTGTAGATGTGATTAAGAGTTTCAAGAAGAGATCATCCTGGATTATCTGAACGGGCCCTAAATCCAACAAGTATCCTTATGAGAGACACACAGAGGAGAGACCGAGAGAAGACGGCCATGTGACAACAGAGGCAGAGACGGGAAGGACACACGGCCGCAAGCCCAGGACACCTGGGACCCCAGAAGCTGGAAGAGGCGGGAGGGGGACCCTCCCCGGGACCCTCCGGGGGCAGCACGGCCCTGGGACACACTGACCTTGGACGTGTGGCCTCCAGAACGTGAGAGAGGAAATTCCTGTTCTTTTAAGTCACCCAATTTGCAGTAATTTGTTAGAGCAGCCCCAGGAAACCAGTACACCTGGTCCTATTGGAGAAAATACCAGATAAACCCAGCTTGGGGCCATGCTGCAGGACGCCAGCCAGTCCTGGGAGGAGCCTGAGGACACAAGTGAAAGCCACGTGGGATCCTGGATGCGGGCCTGGGGCGGAGAGCATCCTGAGCTGGTGACTGGGGAGCAGGGCCAAGTCGCATAGGGGCTCATGCTAACTTTGAGGAAGGCCATGGGGTCTGGACCCACCATTTCCCAGGACCCAGGCTTGGAGTGGTCTCAGGCTGGGGCCGTGAATTCTGGGTACAGGGTGACCCGGGGCGTGGGACACAGGAGGGCCTGGCATGAGTGATGGCAGAAGGGGCCAGCTCTGGCCCCGGACAAGTTCATACCTCATTCGGAGCCTCCCCCTGCCCCACGCCCCCAGTCGGCTTAGCCCCACCCCCTCGCCCTGCACTGCTTTTTGACAGCTTTCTCTTTCTAACTTTCTCTGTGACTGCCGTCATTGGCTTCATGTGAGCAGGATTTTTTTTTTTTTTTTTTTTTTTTTTTTTTTTTTTGGCTGAGTCACAGCTTGTGGGATCTTAGTTCCCCAACCAGGGATTGAACCCTGGCACCTGGCAGTGGAAGTGCAGAGTCCCAGCCACTGGACCGCCACGGGGTTTTGCTTCTCTCCCTCCTGCTAGGCCCAGGAAAATGCCTGGCATGGCAGGTGCCCAGGAAACCTGAGAGTCAACTGCTTACACTCGCGCTCGTGGGGCTCCCTCTGAGGAAATACCGAGCATCTTCAGGGTAGCACTGTGCACAAATCGGATGGTCCCACATTAATATCTAAAATACCTTTATTCATCTATCACGGAAAACTTGGCAGTGCAGAGAAGTCCCAGAAGTGGAGCAGTCTGTGTCTGGGGTCCCTTCTCCTTCATCGATCTGTGTCTGCTTAGCCCAATAACACGTTTTTTGATGACTCTGGCTTTATGGTGGGTTTTGAGAACTGCCGTGGCTGTTCTTCCCAGTTTTACTCCTTGTTGACTTTTTTCAGCTCATCTCACACACTTAACTCTTCCAGAATCAATCACCCATCCATCTGTCCCTCCCTGCATCCAACAGTCATTGAAACAGTGCTGACAGAAGACATCT